CCTCACCGGGCCAGGGGTGCGCACCCCAGGGACCACTATCTGCAGTCGCCCGTCTCCGCCACGCCATCTGTCGCCTCGACTGCGCCGAAGACTCTCCACCTTTTTTGGCATTCGCCTTTGGTTTGCATTTTTTTTCTCTCGAACATTTGCTGCCCGTTTAGTCCCGTTTCAAAAATCCGTCCGGCCGAGCCGTGGTCCCGTCTCTCGTCCACCCCCTGCCGTCCGCCTGCCCGAAGCCTGCGCCACAGGCCTGGACTTTGTTCCGGCGGCTCCTTACGTTTAATCCCAATGCTGTCCCCCTGCCAAGCAGGTGTGTAGTGAAACGCGCATGAGAAAAGAAGCAAGCCGGGCTTATCTAGATGTTTCCTCAACTTGCACAAATTCCACCGGTGGGAGAGGTTTGGGTTTTCTGTGACAAACCACAACGCGCGTACGTTAACAGCCACTTAGATGGATCAAGAGAAATTCGCGTTCGGCCATTTCTGCCATCATCTTTCTGGCCCTGTTGCCAGAGACACACAAGCAGTGCTCGTGTTCACAGACGCAGAGACACCTGCGACATCGCTTCTTTGCTCGCAGGAGTAACTGGAACAGCCTGCTCCACGGTTTTGTCCAACTTGAAAGCGCCTGAGCTCTATTTGTTTCTTGTCAGGCGTTCTGTCATTTACAAGGTGTTACAAATTACTTCAATTTCCACTCCGGTCCTTGGGTCCCGTGTGTGTATTTTAAAACAACTTATTTTCAATGTGATAAGGGTATCTAAAAACCCAGCTTTCACTCGCTATGCTAAAGATACGGCCGCTGGGCTTAAATCACACAAAGAGAGAGGGAGAGTGAATATAGTTTCTCTCTCTCTCTCTCTCTCTCTCTCTCTTACACACACACACACACACACACACACACTCAGTTTGGTTATTTAAAATACATGCTGAGCCCTGTTTCCTGGACCAGCTATTCTAGATCTGACTATCAACAGATGGAGAGACTTTTCATTACCCTTTGCGTCACAGACGTCCACCGCAGAGCCATTTGGTCTGGAAGCTTTAAAACATAAAACTCTTTGGGCAAGAGCCTGGCGGGCAGAAGGCCCGATGCACGAGGCACTTCAGTCCAGAATGGAGGGAAACAACTGGCCGGGTCACAGTCATGCTCAAAGCCTGGAAAACACAGGGTCAGTAGGAGGAGAGGGGGTGGCACGGAAAAGCAACTTGCCATCCACAATCAAGCAGCGTTTGCTCGGAGCCTCGTTCACAACTTTCCGCTGCGTGGGGGCACCCGGGAAGATTCGGATACTGGCGGCCAAATCCTTCCTGAGTCCCAGCAGGCCGCTGAAACGAATGAAGCATCTAAGGCCCTTAGGACGGATGTACCTTACAGGGATTGTGTTGGCAACACCTGTCCAGCAGGCGGAAACCCGGCCTGTGGCTAAACACAGCCTCCACTCGCAAGAAATGATTGTTGTAAACTTCTAAGTGTGTCAGTGTTCCCAAACCGTCTGATAATTTTTTACCAGCTCTTTAGCTGCATATGTATAGTAGCGCTGCTGTCTATTGCACTTGGACTTGTGGATAGTGAAGGGTAGGTCTGGAATGGCGGGTGAGTTCATTCATCAGATTTATTTAATGCCAGGGAACAAAGTCTCTGTTTAACTTTTTATTCATCATGGCACAAGATAGAACATGAAGAAACACCACGGAAAATTTCATTGCCAACATGAAGATTGAGTAGCATGTTCCATAAAAAAAAAAAAAAATTCCTTTTCTATAATACACATTCCCTTATGAAGTGAAAAAAAAAAAATCTCAGAAAATACTGAAGCGAATCGCCACCTGCTGGTCAAAAATGGTTTTGCGGTTGAAAAACTTCAAACTGAAGTGTGGCAGGAGCATTTTACAATACACACAAAATTCCTGAAGGAAACATTTCCTCAGCCTTTGGCACGACGTCAATACAAAGCTGTAGTTTTTTTTTTTCCAAACATGATTTACTTTACAAAGCACTGCGTATAATTTGGTGAATACTGATTATGGGGCAGAAGGAAAAACTGCGTTCTGTAATTTGAATACTCCATTTGGATTCTTAAACACTTTATAGTTGGATTCCAGTTTGTAGTTTTGAAAAATACATAGAAATTATACATTATAAATATATATTATATATGGTCTATATAAAACTGAATTTGAGCTAAACTGGGAAGGACAACTTAATTATTCTTTCTTTGTTAGGCACGGCCTTTCTCTTGTTTGATTAACTGAAACCTTTCTAAACAGATTCTAAAAATATATTCCATAATGTATCAAATTTAATATTCTCCTTAAAACATATTCAATATGAAAAAGCATTCGGTGACTACATTTTTTTGGTATCTCACTACTATATAAAAATATGGCTTGGCATATTCTGTTTTGTTTTGCTGTGTTAGCGTTTTTTCTTAGGCATTGAAGGAAGGGCTATCCCCAGTTAAAAAGCTATGGCAAAAGCACAGAAACCTGCTTGTGCATATTCTAGAACATTCTATGGAATCTCATTCCTTAGTATGCGTGAAGTGATTTAAAAAAAAAATGGTTCCTTCTGTTTCTGTGAATATATCATATATGATTATCATACATAATCTGTTACAGAATATACAACAGTCAGAACGGAAGTCACATAAATACAATTAAGCGATATCAAAGCAAGAGTTTTATCTTATACAGAGCCAAAGTGAATAGTTTTTCGATTGGATATCGCCATCCGGTTTTGTTTTTGTTTTCTCCTAAGGCTGGCTATGCAATAGAACGTTATTATCAATGGCAAGGGTAGTGCTCTATATCTTTGAGTGAACTCGGTTTCTCCTGTGTTATTTTTTTAAAGTGTAAAAGAAGAAAAATAAGTAGAAGTGTCCAATTGTCTCACACCACCTTTTTTCCCTACTGAGTGAAAGAAGGCTGTTTGGGACGTGGGGGCGCGAACTCGGGCGGGCTCAGACCAGTGTTTCCGGGAGGGCGTCGGGGTTGTCGGTGGACAAGAGCTCCCAGATTTGCCACCGCTCTCTCTGCCAGTCGAGCCAGTCGGGGTCGCCCAAAGTCTTGCTGTTCTGATCGCCGGCGGGACCGGAGTAGGCAGTGCTCGGGTTTTGCTCAGTGGCCCGAGGCTCTTCCGAAGCTGTTCTGGAACCTTCTTCGGGCCTCTGAGGCCTCCACAGCAGTGACTCGGCAGGCTGGCGGGCTGACGCCAAAGCTTGCTTCCCTGGACCAGGATAAGGAGGAGGAGGCCTCTTGTCACGCTTCTCGCCCTCTCGAGGTCTCTGGTGCCAGGGCTTGGCTCTGCTCTGCGGCCAGGCGGTGCCTGGCTCGCTCTGGGTGAGGTCTTCGGCACTGCCCAGAGTCAAATACCGCCCTGCTTTGGGCATGGCCTGCTCGGGTCTCCTGCCGCCGCCCTGGATGTGGGGCGTGCTGCAGACCCGCGACACGGGAGGGCAGGCCGTGCACTCCACCACGGTGGCCGTGGTCTGAGTCCTCCGAATGACCTGCCGGCCACGTTCCAGTTCTGTGGGGCTCCCGTGCCACTGAGGCCAATTCGGGGACAGGTTCCCCTGAGAAAGGGAACATGGCCCCGGTCGCAGGGAGCTACTTTCAAAAATGTCTCCATAGGAACCTGGAGGCCAGAGAGAGGGGCGAGAGAGGGAATTAGTTTGCAGAATCCATGTTGGGAGGTCCCGTCATTTCCTTCCCACTGGCAGCTTCAAAACCCGAAAAAGCCCAGTTGGCTCTTAGCTGCCGCTGCCTCAAGTAAAATATTTCCTAGTAAAAGCAATGACACGTGACGTTTTGGTCACCGGCACAGTGCCCGTCGCAGCTCCAAAGACAGATGTTAGCTGTCAAACTAGATAGTCCTGGCCACTGATTTATTTCAGGAAAGGCCCCTTCCACATGGCTATGAACACTTTTCCGAGCATGGAAGGTAAAGGAAGCGTTCTCTTCTTGTTCGGGGCAATTTGCAGTCCTGGGGAGACACAAATTCTAATGCTTTCGTGTCTCTACGACGTCAGTAAAAGCCATTGGAATAAATGAACTGAATCTAAACTGGCCCCGTGGGAAGGACTGGTTGACATTTCCCAGCCTGCCTTGCATTTAGGAGGGCCACATAACTGAGGCCTGGCCAGCCAGGGTGCAGAGATGTGACGTCAGCCATTTCTAGGCCTGGTCCGATAAAAACACACACGCCTGTGAGTCTTCCGGGCTCACCCCTTCCGCCCACTACTAGGCTGGGATGGAGACACCCCCGGGGAGCCACCGGCTGGGTGGGGCCCGAGCCCCTGAATGGCTGTGTGGACCAGAGCTCCCCCGCCCCTCCTCGCCCTTCACGATCCACACTGTGACGTGATGTGAGGGAGAGATCAACCTGTGACAGCTTAAGGCTCGAGGAAACTGAAGGGAGGGCAAAAGACTGCATTTCGCGAACAAACGGGTTCTTGGCACCTATGTCCCCAGACCGCCATTGTCCCGTTCTCTCATTTACTAAAATGTAGGCGGGGAAAGAGAAGACGATCACTGGGGCAAGAGACAGCAGCGTTTACACAGGGACTGATCAGAGTTGAAATAGCACGGGGAAATGGAGCGGAACATCTGGGACTAGTTTATCCTTGAGGCAAAAGGTAGTAAAGCACCTCATAGGATACAACGGGATGCAGTTAGATAAAGGACCCGTTCGAAATTCAGCTGGATCAGATGCCACTAAATTAAATTTTTTTTTTTCAACGTTTATTTATTTTTGGGACAGAGAGAGACAGAGCATGAACGGGGGAGGGGCAGAGAGAGAGGGAGACACAGAATCGGAAACAGGCTCCAGGCTCTGAGCCATCAGCCCAGAGCCCGACGCGGGGCTCGAACTCACAGACCGCGAGATCGTGACCTAGATGCCACTAAATTAAAGATGCACTATAGACACACTCACATGTACACACACACACACACACACACACACACACACACACACGTATTTGGAACAAAAAAACCAAAACAGTTTACACACTTCATGCTGTGTATTAACATACGTTCCACATGGATGAAAGAATTAAGGGCTAAAATAATGAAATACTATGAAAGAGAAAAGCATATAAATGATTAATGCTTAAGTAAAGATCAGTTTGGTGGAAGGATTCACAAAAACAAAGAGCCATAGACTAGATTATGTAAAACGTGACAATTCCAGATATGCAAAGGGGGACAAAACAACTGTGGTTTCGAATGAGCAAAAATGCAAACTAGTGACTGCACCTCTGGATGTTTGGGAAGGTTCTTAATTTTGACTCGCTGCCCTATTCTGGATTTATGACTTGCTTTCCCAAATTCTGTGAGTCTGTTCTTCATTGAAAATACAGAACAAAACGCGCAAGAAAGAAGTTCCTGACAGCATCACTTATTACAACGATAACCAAAAAATGGGTTGTAAACCAGGCGTATGCAGTCTGGAACACTACGTGGCCCTTCACAATAATAATGGCAAATAACCGGAAAATGGAGGTGAAACAGATAATATAAAGTTGCACAGACAGAATGATTGTAACTATGTTTAAAAACTCTTGCAAAGGGGGTGCCCGGGTGGCTGAGTCCGTTGAGCGTCGGACTTCGGCTCAGGCCATGATCTCACAGCTTGTGAGCTCGAGCCCCGAGTCGGGCTCTGTGTCGACAGCTCAGGACCTGGAGCCCGCTTCAGATTCTGTGTCTCCCTCTCTCTCTGCCCTTCCCTCATTCACGCGCTGTCTCTCTGTGTCTCTCAAAAAGGAATAAACCTTAAAAAAATAATAAAAAACTCTTGCAAAGGAAATGAAATGAAATATAGTCAAAGGTTGACATACCTTGGCAGAAAGGCTAAGTATAGCTTTATATGGTTTTCCCCCTATTTTCAGCATTTTCCAGATAACATCTGACAAGTACTTAATATGATAGTAGGAAAAAAAAGCAAAGAAACTTAATTTAGAAAGCAAGTGCAATAAACAGCCTTTAAAAGATAGTATGTCACCTGTCATTCCTGGGTCTTTGGATCCACTTTTTAATGTTGAATGCCAAGTTCCCCAGATATTGAAAGGCTCCTCTGCCATATCTAGGAAAAAGTGTAAAGAGAAAGGTATGTGACTCACAATGGAAATCGACGAGCAAAAAGTCAATCAACAAACATTTTTGTAACATGGTATCACATTCAAGATCGTGCCGGATACAAGACAGAACAAGGTGCGTACCTGCCTTTCAGGAGGCTTAGTCCGTTGGGGATTTACAAAAAGGCTTTCTATATAATGGTCGTGGTACACAGAATAAGGGCCCCCAAAGATGTCTGTGTCATGATCCTCAGAACCTGTAAAGATGTCATACGCCAAAGGGACTGCAGGTCTGATTAAATTATGAGTCTTGAGACGAGACGATGATCTGGATTAGCTGGACGGGTAGACCCGATGCGATCACAAGGGTCCTTATGAGGGGGAGGCAGAAAAGGTGCTATATTTTTGGAGGAAGGGCCACGAGCCAGAGAACACAGGTGGCCTCTTGGAGCCTGGAGCCTCCAGGAGTAACACAGCCCTGAGGACCCCTTTGGATTGGTGAAGTCCAGAAGTGTAAGATAATACACGTGTGTGTCGTTTTCAACCACTAACCTGTCATTTGCTAGAGCAGCGATGGGGAGTGAATACAATGGTGACGGATGACAACAGCTCTGACGGCAGTTACTGAGACCGAGGAACGTAAAATAGTCACCGTCCCTCTGCTGGTACTACCCTCCGCCATACCCCGCTGCTGACATCAACAGTTCACCCCTGCCTGTATTCATTCACAAGCTGGCAGAGGAAGGCGCCGTATGGGGCGTTCTCTCCATCTCAGAGTCCCCGCTACGACCCTGTGATGTGATCCTAATGAGTATTTCTTTTCTTTTTTTAATATGAAATTTATTGTGAAATTGGTTTCCATACGACACCCAGTGCTCGTCCCAACAGGTGCCCCATAATGAGTATTTCTTGAAGCAAGTGTCTACCGGGTGCTTCCCTGGGGCAGCCGTTCGGATGCCTTGTGACCTTGTCGAGCGCTCACTGTGCGCCAGGTTCTGTGTTGAGGACTTTACGTGGGCGAGCGAATGGAACGCTCAGAGTTACTGCTCCTGTCTTTCTTAGTTTCCATACGAGGAGGGGAGGGGACTCCGAAAGGCTCCGTCTCTCCTGCAGGCTGCTCGTGGCAGAACAGGTAGGTTACCGACGCCAAGTCTCGTGCTCTGGTCATGGGACACCAACACGACTTGTTTCTAATTCCCTCGGGGTGGGGTTGTTTGCAGGGAGACATTTACAGAGTGGACAGGATTGCTTAGCCCCCGCACCAGTGACACCGGGGGCCGAATCCTTCTCTGCGGGGAGCGGTCCCGCATGCCTCGGGATGTTCAGCCCTGGGCTCTACAGTCTGGACCCCAGTAGCAACCCCTCCCAAGTCGTGATAACCCCAAATGACTACAGACATCGTCACCTGTCCCCCGGTGCGCAAAATTGAGGACCACAGTGCCAGAGTTTGCCAAGATAGCCAACAGACAGAGCTTTCCTAGTGGGAAGTTGTCGAATAACATCTCTCTGAATTTGTATTTAGAAACCCGAATATGCCGGGCCTCTTACAACGGCCAGATTCTCTTCAGAGCACGTTCCTGTGTTGTTGTTACAGAGAATGTTACGTATAGAAAATCTGTCACTAATTTAAAAGAGCAAATATTAGAGATCATTTATATATGTCAGAAAGGGAATAGTAAATCTATGATGCATCGATATCATGGCCATGAAGAATGTGAGCAAAATGGAAAATGCTAAATGATATGATTTTAAGTGAGATACGCTTAATTCAAAAGGAGCTATACTTTGGAAAACAAAGCTGTAAAGTTAGGTATACATCTGGACAAGGACTATGAAAACTAAAGTTTTACATTTAAAAAATAAATTTTATGCTTGAAGGGAACATGGGTTACTGTTTTCTTTTTTTTTTTAATTTTTATAATGTTTATTTAGTTTTGAAGGAGAGAGAGACAGAGTGTGAGCAGGAGAGGGGCAGAGAGAGAGAGGGGGACACAGAATCCGAAGCGGGCTCCAGGCT